CAATCCTACATAATATTATTTAAAACTATACGTTGTTTTGTCTCCATGTGGACTAGGCCTTAGAAGACTTGCTTTTCCTTAAAAAATCCATATTTAAGTAAAAATGTTGTTCCTTTAGCAAGCTCAATAAAACTCGTCTATATTTATGGAAAATGTTCAAAACAATGCCACCTCCAGAATCACACTGGTGCTTTAAGTCAACTTGCCCATGTTTTATTTACTCTTTTGGCCTTGTCCATGTCATAAAAGAGCCTCCTCTGCTCCGGTGATCCTGTCGCGCCCGGACCAGTGCTCAGAGCTTGTTGCAGTAAATAGATAGTGATATCCCGAAGCCACAGTCAGATAAACTGTGTTAAAATACAGCTGTCCGCTCCCACTGCCAAGGCAATAATGCATGCCATTTTGTGCTGAGAGTAGGCAGTTTGGAGCCTCTCTGATCAAAACAAACCTTCCACAATGCACTGCTGTTACAATTTTACCACAAGGATTCACAACACTAACTGGGTTAAAGCATTAGGCGCGAGCTGCTGATCAATAATACTGCAAAATTGTCTCCCAAGATAAAACAATATTAGCAATTAGGGCCGAGTCTGTTTATAAATCTCACATTATCCAGTGCTTCAAATACATAATCCACAGATTGAAAATTATTGAATGAGTTTGTATGAAATGGGTCGGAAGTTATTGACGAGTGGTTCTACTCACTCCAAAATGTATCACTTAATCCTAGTATTTTAGCGGCATTGCACAAGTGTCTCTCTAGTCTGAGACACGGTAGTGCCGTATGAACCAACTCGCACTCTGAGGAGCACAGGGACCAGTGTTGCCAACTCCTCAGTAAGGAAAGTAGCTATTGGCTGTCCCAAAAGTCGCTAGAAGTCGCTAAATGACGTCATCGCCTAATTTGCATAATTTGCAATTTGCAAATAACTGTAACGGACGCTGTAGGAGAGAGGAATAAGGTCGTGGGAGAGACAAAAGTGAGTAAAAACACCCTAAATATGTTTAGAACTACAAATGTACAAAAATAATTTCAACATTAACAACATTTAATGATTTTAATGCTTTGTCTAGATCCACATTACACACATCAGTTTTGTCCTGTATTGTTAAATGTTATAACAGCAAATGTAATCAAAAGATTGTTATGTAGGGTGAAATTGCTAGCTCTACAACCAACCCTCCTCCTTTATCCGGGCTTGGGACTGGCAAAGTGACCCAAAAGACACACTCTGGCAGAGTTACTTAGGTTTATTTTTGTAAGTTTTTTTTTTTTTTCATAGTTTGGCATAACAAATGATTTAATGTGACCCACTACTGAGAGAAAACAGAGTCACGGACAGAGCTGCCGCGGATGGAGTGGGGGGTAGTGGGGGGTGGCGGTGGTAGGAGTGGCCGGGGAGCTTTGGATGTGTGGTGGTGGTGGAGCTGGAGTTCAGTCTGCAGCAGCCTGAAAACTCCCTGTGCTTTTGAGTCTCCTCTCTCTCTCTCTGCTCCGCCCATAGACTGTAGCTGGGACTGCTGCGCAAGGCTACTGTGAGACTGGCCGCCTGTAAGTGCTTTGGGACGGGGGAGGGGCTCACGTTGAGGACAGCAGAACAATACGTGCTTCACGAGTCTCCAAAACACCAGATAAGTCGCCAAAACACCAGATAAGTCGCCAATAACACCAGAAAAAGTCGCTAGATTTGTCGCTAGTCGCTTTTTTGAAAAAAAGTCGCTATAGGGGTCTGAAAAGTCGCTAAATCTAGCGACAAAGTCGCTAAGTTGGCAACACTGACAGGGACTGGCCTCCACCTGGTGTCCAGAGTCAGAGCCAATCATGGGGAGGGCAGAGTTTCAGATTCATGCAGCTAAAATCGAACAGTCTTCCTAAAAATGTGAGGTAGGCTTCTTCACTAACAATGTTCAAATCCAGGTTAAAAACAGGTTTTGTTTAGCTGTGCACTCAACTGAAGGATTGTATCTTCACTCTTTTTAATGTACTGTGATGATGTGTGATTGTTTTTATCTTGTTTTGTTCAGCACTGCTTTGTGTATGAACCGTGCTATAGAAATACAATTGCCTTGCCTTCTCTTCTTTGTTGAAGTCTGTGTATGCATTAATACTCATCACTCCTTGAAAGGTTTATAGACCAATACCTTTTGTATTGTATGAGCCGTATGGAAGAAAATGATATGGTGCATTAATCCCAAAATTTGTAATGTTCCAACACTTTACAGATTGGGACCTCTGCATGATTGTAAGATTTACTTACGGTTGGGTTGCCAACCGTCCCTCAAAATACAGAATTTTCCCTTATTTCAGAAAAAAACGATGTGCGTCCTGTATTTTCAGAGTCGCCTTAAATGCATCACTCACTCACTACATGTCACACACGCACACACAGACACACACACACAGTAATCACAGTTTAAGCGTCTATCTTTTGGCCAATCAGTCTCAAAGGGGGGCGTAGGCTCGATCACATCCATGGGCTTACATCACGGCAGAAGTTTGGTAAAGTTAGCGTCATATTCCCAGATTCGGATTTCCGCGGTCAATAGTTCACGAAAGCTTCTTTGTTAACCCTCTATGCCCATGGGTCATTTTGGGGAACTTTCCTCGCCTGGTTTTCTTTGTGTATAATGGTTCATAAAACAGTCATCTTTTGATGCAGAGTCAAGCAGTATACTTTGTTTTTTTCAGTACAACCTGGGGTTTTAGAATATTCATATTGTAAAGCTGTCATATGAATTATATAAAAATGATGGAATCATAAAGACAAAGAAAAAAATCTAACGGAAAATCAAGTTAACAAAAATGTATTGAAAAAACACAATGAAATGCTATAAACAACTTTTTACACTGCATAGAAATGTTATGTATGGTTTTGGGGATAATGGGGGAAAAAATTGAATCTCTAACTATTATACTTTTTACAAAATTCCACTATAAAAGCAAAAAACTCTGTACTCCTGATGCCCTTCTTGAAGCAGTTTGTCTATAATGCTGGGGTTGCTTCTGTAGTACAGCTGTAAAAAACGTAAAACATAAAAAACTGAGCCAAAAAAAAAAAAAAACATAAATTATTTATTTAATACATATATTTATATACATCATATACACATAATGTCATTTTACTGTATTTATTATCGTCTTTATCAATAATGCGCGCTCTTCAGCCGGTTTTTGCAATCGCAGCTGTAGTTTCAACTGTGGGAGAACAAGGAAACGCAGAGGAGTGAGAGATCACACTCTCTGACGATCTTTGGCAGTCCCCGTGTGTTTGTATCTCACAGCTGTTTGTACCTCACGGGTCATGCTTTGGACACGGACTTTCAGACAAACGTAGTTTATCCTCCGTGCATCGCACAGACAAATCAAAAGCCCTGATTACGTACTTCACAGAGGAAAAAAAAGTAAGTTACTACGTTTTACCGTTCGCGAGTAAATTGATCATTTGTAAAACATGTGCATGCAACGTGTGAATTCAGTGCGTTGCAAGCGCAGAGAAAAGCGCTTAGGGAGCGTCAATAGAAGTCAAGATCAGCTTTGTAAACAAACAATAGCTTTTACATGAAGCCCAAGCCCCGGCGATCCAAGATTGCGCCGTAATCAAATGAATGGTTTGTGCTCAGTGGCGCATGTGCCGGAATGGGGGCCAAAAGATTAGCGGAACTCGCCTTATTTGTGCATAATCGGGTCCTCCCGGTTCTGCGCAGTGGACGAGCCCCCATGATGCGTTGTGCCATATACGCGCGTGTGGCTCTCATGTACGTGCACAGAAGGGCTCGACCTCACTCTATAATTAGAGCAAAGTTAGAGCAGGTGCCTAGGATTTAAGAAGAAAAAAAGTTCAGGATGAGAAGGGACACTGAAATCCTCACAAAATCTAACCATTATGAAAGCTGTACGTGCGCTGTCAGCTGAGGTCGAGCTGTTTTAGTTTACATTGAGTTCTGTGGGGAAAATCTATCCCACGTGAATTTAGTCTGGTCTAGTCTGCAGTACTGCGAGAATCCCCCGAGCACATGGGTGCTTCAGCTCCATGCTAGTAATACCCTATCCAGTTATTACAAAACTCTCAGACCATTTCATTCTGGAGAGACTCGATGAGACTATGTTGATTGGCAGGTAATCTGACGCTGCATGAATTACACATATGACACTAAAGACAATATTTTCAAGATTACATTTATTGTGCTGAACAGAATGTGGTTAGGATTTGGCGTTTAGACCCCGGCAGAGCACTGCACAATTGCAAAAGGGGAAAGAGATAATGAGATGAAATCCCCCGGGGCCTAGACCCTGGTGGTAGTAGCTAGGAGAAGGATGAAGGAGCTGGCCTAGAACAAGGCGGATATGGGGAGGAGGAGGGTTGCGGCATGAATGAAGCTGCTGCTTGGATGGAGGCGCGATATGAAGCTGATGCGGGCAGTGCCTGATTGCTGCGGGTGAGGATTTGCTTGAGCGCTGCGCAGCTGCGTGTGATTGACTGATTGCTGTTGCTGTGGGCAACAGCAGGAGAATCGAGAGCTGGGTTCTCAGGTCTTCCACTTTTGAATATCCGCTTAAGCTTCATATCTAACTGCTACTGACTTTGATTTCAACATTTGTGAGTTTTTAAAATATTTTAAATGAATACATACGTTTTTCTTTTGCTTTTACAGTAAATGGTATTTACTGCCAAAATAATTCCACCTGTTTGTTGAGTTTCATTTTTGACTAAGGATTTTTTTTTTTTTATATGTAGTCAATAAATTACATTCTAAAAACAGAAAGACATTGCTAACTTAATTACGGACAAACTACATTCTACACAGCGACAACTCAACACAACCAACACAGGCGCACTCCCTAAAACCTTGTGTATAGTCGAACAGCGGTGAGGTGATGTCGCTTTACCAACGCAAGGATCCCTTGCATAGCCACCCGCGCATCCTCAACATTTTCTAGCTACACAGACGGCGGGACAAATTTGTGTGTCTCAAAAAGAAGATGGTCGGACAAAGTGGGGATGCCCGCGACGGACAGAAAGTGTCCGGATTATTTCATCGTCTGTCGTGGTTATCGCCTCACGTCAGCAGAACAACAGACCTCCACAAATGTAACGGTAGGCTATTTTAAGATCTGTCGGTTTACTCAAGAGGAAAAAAGTGTGATGCTGGCTACCATGCTTGTTATCATGCTAACTAGCATGCTAACCAGCACTACTGAAGTTGTACCCAAAGTATATTTGGGTGTACGTCGTCACAATGCCAGACAAAAGTTTAATTCTCAAAAACTAAATATCTGCATAATCAGAATACTTTACAGAAGTGTTGGTTGTTACTGAACAGCTATGATGTATTTGTCTTCCGGTCTACGCAAATGGGATGTAGCTCTATTGTTGTAGCGTAGCCAATACTTTGCCTGCTAGAGTAAAATATACTTGATTCAAATCAAATTCTGTATATGCCGCGGTTATTTTTACGTACCAAATTGAATTAATTAATGACCCATAGTCATTTTTGAAAACATGTAAGCAATTGTCTTGAAACTAGCAAGCTTCCAAAAATGATATTTGCAGTGCAATCTGACATTTTTCCTTTGTTTTTGTGCAACAGCCCTCCGACAGACCGCTTCCACATGGCGCTGACACACTACCAGCTCCTCGAGGCTCCACCAGCTCCTTGGGGGGACCGTCCGTCAGCTTCTCAAGGGGACCGTCCGCCAGCTCGTTAACTAAGTCAGCTCACGGCTCTGCTCACGCTGGCATAGGACTTATGTGAACTTAAATCAAGTAGAAGTAGGGGAAATGACTACAGCTCTGAGTCGCTGGGTGAGCCTAGCCTCAACACCACAGCACTGTGGCTGCCGAGCTTCGCTCAGGCCACCACGCTCCTCATTGAGGAGGAAGACGCCGGACGGATCGACCTGGTGGATGCAAGAGCTGCAGAAACTGGAAAAGCGTCGGCTTGAAACTATGGAAGATCTCCGGGCCGTGGCAGACGACGGCTCACAGTTTGGTGCACAAATGGCCGCTGCACTTCGACGGGTGCCGAACGAGAAGTAGCTTGGGCTAGTGAAGTTCTTCACAGACCGGGCAAATGAAGAAGCAACATAGTTTCACTTTTATTGCACTCCAAATGTAAATAGTATACATATGTTTAATTTGCACTTGTCCTGTGTTTTTCACCGTGTATGAATGTGCACTTGTTTGGTCTCAGATAACTTTGTGCACTAATACACCTTTATTAAAAACTATCTGTTTCCAACAAGAACTGTGTCATTATTCACAACATGGTTGAAATTAGTTATGGAACAATGAGTGCATGTATGTAGTAATGCCTTTCAATGTATATATACTGTAGTGTCAAATGTAAATGACAAATTTACCACATGACACATAAATGCAAATATATATGAAGCTCTTCGCGAAAGTTCACTGTGGTAGACCCGGCCACTGCTGCCAGATCTACAAGCCTGCTCATCCTCTACTCATTACACCAGCAAAACGCCCACATCTAATCCACCAATAACCACCAGGACAGCAAGTTAAAAGCCGGAGACGCCCACTTTCCCGGCCTTTTGAAGCTTGCAAAGCCTCCGCCGCCCCACCTCCTCCTTCTCTCATCGAAGCGTGCTTGCCTACTGCCTCTGCCGTCACCAGTGCCTAGGCCCCGGGGGGGGGGGGATTATGCGCGCGAGCAAGCGCCGCACTCATCAGCATCTCTCCCGGGCCTAGGGCGCCAAACATACTCAATCAACAAACTTCTAACTGCATTTTCCCTCTTGGGTCTCTCCAAAGTGAAATATATATATAACATTATATATATATATATATATATATATATATATATATAATGTTATATTAAATTGTGTTTTTAGACTTGTGTTCAGCACTTTGGTCAACTGTGTTGTTTTTAAAGTGCTCTATAAATAAAGTTGAATTGAATTTAACGTAAAAACTTAAAACAAAATATACAACCTTTAAAAACTAGTTTTATTTGATAAAAGCAATGTTATTATTAAATTGCAATAAGCATTAACAACTACTACAAACATGTTAAAATAGTTATTTATACATACATATCTTAAGTACAAGACCATTTGCAACAAGCTCAACAAATTTAGTCAGGAGAAACAGCCATGCATAAGACTCACCTCTCGCAGATATGACTAGTAGCTTTGCAATTTCGAAGTGTCCGCTTTATACTTTGTTCTTAAGAGTGGCTTAGTCCACCATTAATCCAAATATAACCCATTTTTGAATAATTTCATAATTAAGGAAGAGCCCTGTGAGTGACTATGCGTCCAGTATGATTTTTTTTTTTTCCTTTGGTGTTCCCCAAGGCTGCTCCTCTTCCCCTCCCTTATTCATTCCTTGTGTTTTTCTTCTGCCATTCGGTGCTCTGTGGTGCCTTACGGGGAGAAAATCTGGAAGCACATCTCTCTCACGGCGGGCCTGAATAATGGAGACATGTAGGGACCTTCTCCACACTGTGTGCCGTACAGATGGTATGCCAAAAACTACTACACTGTCACACTGAAAAATCTGCTTTGTTTTAACCCCTTAAGGATCCAATCTGCCAGGGCTGGAACAACTTGATTTAAATGTTTCTGAATATATATTTTTTCAATCAATTGAGAAAATGAAATCCTCAAACTCTAAATATATAATTATAGAGATGTATGTGATTTCCAGTGAAATCACAGGTCCTGGGTTTGAACTTCATACTCACAAATACTCAATATATTGGATTCTGATTATTTTTCTTGAAAGGGAGTATTTAAAAGTTGATCATTCTAGTCTGAATCAATCCCCAGACACCAGCTACAGACTTCACACTGTAGCAAACAACACATAGGACATTTTGGAGTTTCTTTATTGTCTGGGCGGAGATTGTTCTCACTTATAATCAAAGTAAATGAATGATCAGAGGCTAGAATTACAGGGTCTCAGCTCCAAAAACAGTCCCGCTCTGTCCTTCTCTGTACTCTATATGTTGATGTGTATATTTGTACATGTATTCATCAAACTGAGGGACGAATAAATGACTTTCTTAATTTTAACGTTTTTTCAGGCGTTTGAGAAAGTAGTAAATTTGTTTATATTTAGGCAACACAAGATTATGTTCTTCTTTCTGCTCTTTTTCATTTGTATGACGGGACTACAATCATTTGAAATGCAAGTGTAAAGTGTGATGTATTGTCAAGTCCACAGTTGAAATAAATAGTCATAAGTTGTAAACTATGGAAAGACACCAAGAACTAAGCTAAGTAAAGACATAAGAACGACCAAAGCTTGCTTTAAACAGTTTGCAAACCAAATCCAACTTTGCAAAACATTACGAATGTCCAAATGCTTAGTTATTGTTACTTGACCCATAAAGACATCAATTATTTGGTTTTCTAATCATCCATTGCTGAATGAACACTCATGGCTTTTATTATTTTAGTCCATACAACAGTTGAGATTTTCCTTAAACTGGAATTTTACACAGGATTTTTGTAATGCTAAGTTTTGGATTCAGGTTAATCGTCTTTGAGCACTTTTTTAAAAGCTAAAAAAAAGAAGATATATTTCACTTGTTTGATGATGAACTGTTCCAAAGCGAGGCGGGGAAAAAATGGAAGCAGATATGGACCAGGGGCCACCCAGGACGAGCTCAGTGTTCTACAGTATCTCCTCATGGGTAGAAATCACAGCAGGAGGGATGGGCTGGAAGAGTTTGTCAAGTCAAATATGATGGTTTGCCATTTTTAAGTAAGTAAGTAAGTAATCAGTATTTATTCTCGCCTTTCACACAGCGATGGGAGCTGGGTCGCCATACAGGAGGTGCATGCCAGACTTATGGTACATGAAACCAGAGCACCTGGAGGAAACCTACTCAGACACATGCAAGAACATGCAAACTCTACACAGAAGGGCCTGGAGGTGGAATCAAGGCCAGGACCTTCTTGCGGTGAGGCACAAGTGCTAACCACTACGCCACAGTGCTTGAAAGAAAATAAATAGCTGGAATGGTTGTTTAGGTTTATTTTAGAAAAATGGACTTTCAGTGTTTGTGTGATTGTGTGTAGAATTTCTTAATCAAAATCCATAATTTTCTACTTTTTTTTAATCAAAGAGGTCTGACAGCCATTGGTCTGAAATAAGAAGGATATGACCTGTTTGGGCAAAATGTTCTTCAATCTTGCAAAGAAAAAAAATCACATAAACACAAGGAGTTCCATCTAGTGTTTTGGATAACAAAAAAATGTCTTGCTAAATTAGCTGGAATGATTGAATAGGTTTATTTGCTAATCACAGAAACATTTTGATTGGTAAATAACCCATACAAAACTACAATGTAATTGACCATTATTTGCCCTTTTCAACTATTGTTAAAGAATATAACTTTAGTTCATCTCCGGATAAAGCGGAAGAAAATGGATGGATGGATGGATGAAATACAATGTAAAACTATTCTTTTCCCATAAAATTTGATCCATTCATCAATTTTCCGATTGTTGAGTCACGGGGGCAGCAATCTAAGCAGAGACGTCCAGACTTCACTATCAACATACACTTCAGCTCATCCGGGGCGACCCCAAGGCGTTCCCAGGCCAGCTGAGAAACATAATTCCTACAGCGTGTCCTGGGTCTTCCCCGGGGCCTCCTCCCGGTGGGACGTGCCCAGAACACCTCCCCAGGGAGGCGTCCAGGAGGCATCCAGAACAGATGCCCGAGCCACCTCAACTGGTTCCTCCCGACACTGAGGTAGGAGCTATGTTGTCTTGGGCTTTATGCCCCTGGGAAGGGCCTCCCATGGCAAACAGGACTCGGGTGACGAGAGTGACAAAGTGCAGTCCAAAACCCACCATGGATCGCACTACAAGAAAATCAGTGATGTTGCCTGGCATGGCACAGCCGGGGCCTGGGGTTGGGGCTCGTAAGCGAGCGTCTGGTGGCCGGTCCTTAGTCCACGTGCCCTGGCTGGGCTCAGCCCGAATGGACGATATGGGCAGGCTCTGCTGTGGACACAGAGGAATCCGTGGTGATTCGGTGCTGAGAGGACTGGACAGCAGTCAAAGGCAGAGACCTCAACGACCCAGTCCTCACACACATACACACAACATCTGGCGCATAGAAATTGGTATGTATGTTTAATTGACATTACAAGGGTTTATGATTGCAAATGTTAACCAAGGCTAATAACAGCGGGTAGTATTTCGCAATTTTATCCAATAGTGAGTGAAACTTCATTTGGAATTTCATCTTAGCCCTACTATTTTAAGCTATGGCCCTAAATGAAAGCCAAAACAATGCTTAGAGATCTACTTAATTAATGACAATATCCAGTTCTAACCTTTGCACTCTTGTCACTGGAGTGGCTGGGGCTGGTGACCCGGGAGCATGTGGAGGGCAGGGCACTAGGTTATTGGCTCTGGGGACTTCATTAAGTGCAGTGTGATTGTTTTTTTCTGCTGGTGGAATGGCTTTCTCTCCGTGTGTCCATCTAACTCCGACCGAGACTGAGGTGCACCCACAGAAAAGACCCCAGCTCCCTCAGGGGAAGGTGATCACAAATGCAGTTAGAATGTGCTTTCATACTGCCCTGTTTTTTACAAGCTGTAGCGTAGAACAAAGAAGCAAAGAAAGGTTTTTAGTGTGTCTTTACACTAGTATTCTGTGCATTTGTAGAATTATTAGAGGGTTCCGTTTGCGTTCTGTTGATTTTCTGACCGTTCATCGGTCAAAATCGAATGGAAATGCATTTATAACAAGCACTAAGTTATTCAAATTCTGCCTTGCTAAAGTAGGCTATATAGACAAAATCCATAACCCATATTCAATAAACAAACATAAAATACCTTCTAATTCTAATGGCACAATGTATAAGTAACATTATTTATTACATGCCTATAGATAACCTTTTCCCTCTGCCTTTGACCCATCCTTCAATGCCACTAGCGCCTCTGTCCTCACTATACTG